ACCTTGGTAGGTCCCCAAATGTGCCCAAGTGTCCCCAAGGGTCCCCAGATTTCCCCAAGGGTCCCCATGGGTCCCCATCCCAGTGCCCCCCCACCTCCTTCCCTGGCCACAGTGGGCTCTGATGCCACCTCAGTATGTCCCCACCTGTCCCCAAAGGTCCCCAAGTGTCCCCAGTGCTTCCCTGGTGCTCCCCACTGCTCCCAGTGTCCCCATCCCAGTGCTCCCAGTGGCCCCCCTGCCTGTTGCCCCCAGCCATGGTGGACCCTGATCCCACCTCGGTATTTCCCCCAGTGTCCCCAGTGTCCCCTGGTGTCCTCCAGTGCTCTCCCAGTCCTCCCAGTGCCCCCCAGTGCCCTGGCCCTGAGTATCCCGTGGTGTCCCTGTCCTGTGGGTGCCCCATATCCTGGTGTCCCTATGGCTTGGGTGGCCTTGTTCCTTGGGTGTCCCCTCCATGTCCTCATGGTGTCCCCATCCCAGAATGTCCCCATCCCATGGTGTCTCAAGGGTATCCTGTCCCGTGATGTCCCCAGGGTGTCCCCATCCCATGGGTGCCCTGTCCTCGTGGTGTCTCCATGTCTTGAGGGTGTCCCTGTCCTGTGCTGTCCCCAGGGTGTCTCTATCCCATGGGTGCCCCATCTGGTGGTGTCCCCAGGGTGTTGCTGTCCCATGGTGTCCCCAGGGTGTCCCCATCCCCTGGGTGCCCCATCCTGTGGTGTCTCCAGGGTGTCCCTGTCCTGTGTTGTCCCCATTGCCTGGGTGCTCTGTCCCCGTGGTGTCCCCAGGGTGTCCCCATCCCATGGGTGCCCCATCCCATGGTGCCCCAAAGTGTCCCCGTGGTGGCACCCACTGATGGGACCGTGTCCCCGCAGATATCCCCTCGGTGACACCGCGCTTGGCCACCCGCAACCAGACGTCCTTCTCCCCCATCCTGTGGTGTCCCCAGGGTGTCCCCATCCCGTGGTGCCCCAAAGTGTCCCCGTGGTGGCACCCACTGATGGGACCGTGTCCCCGCAGATATCCCCTCGGTGACACCGCGCTTGGCCACCCGCAACCAGACGTCCTTCCGTGTGACCTGGCCCCGCCCCCCCGTGCCGGTGGATGGCTACCAGGTGGCCCTCATCCCCCTGGTGAGCTGGGGACGGGGATAGGGGTGGGGACAGGTCCCCAGTGTCACGGTGGCCCCAGTGTGGTGGCCCCAACGTGGCCCCAATGTGGCCTTCATCCCCAGGATGAGGTGGCATCTGTGGCCACTTGCTGCTGGGGGACACCATAAGGGTGTCCCTATGGTGTCCCCAACATGTCCCCAATGTGCCTGTTGTCCCCAGAACCACCTCCCGCTGCCTAACTGGGGGATGGGGACATCTCCCTAGTGTGTCCCTTGTCCCCAGGATTAGCCGTGGTGGTGTCACCCATCTGCTGCTTGACTTAGGGGTGGGTCCCCCATGGTGTCCCCCCATGGTGTCCCCAATGCACCCCTTGTCCCCAGGATGAGTCAGCAGTTGTGGCCACCCTCCTGCTACCTGGCTTGGGGACAGGGATGTGCCCCCAGCATGGTGTCCCCAGTGTCCCCAACATGTCCCCTGTCCCCAGGATGAGCCACCTGCCTGCAACCCTGCTTAGGGACCAGGATGTGTCCCCACTGTGGTGTCCCCAGTATGTCCCCAGTGTGTCCCCAACATGTCCCCCAGCCTGAGGACAAGCCATTGGCTGTAGCCACCTGCCTCCTGCCTGGCTCAGGGATGGGGAGGTGTCCTCACCACACTGGCCCCAGTGTGCCCCTCCTTAGCTGTCCCCAACACGTTCCCAGTGTGTCCCCGACATGTCCCTCAGCCCTGGGAGAAGTTCTTGGCTGTGGCCACCTGCCTGCTGCCTGACTCAGGGCCAGGTCCCACCGTGGTGTCCCCGGCATGTCCTTGACTTGTCCCTTGTCCCCAGGACGAGCCGGCGGCGATGACCACCCATGAGCTGCCCGGCTCCGCTGTCACCTTCGAGGTGACAGGGCTGGCACCCGGACACGCCTTCGAGCTCTTCATCCAGGCCCAGCGGGAGCAGCACCTCGGGGCACCCGGCACCCTGCGCGTCCGCACCCGTACGTGTCACCCTCTCAGCGTGGGGACCATGAGGGAATGGGGACACCATGGGGATGGCAGTGGGCCTGAGCATGGGGACAGGGATGGGGACAACGTGGGGATGGCAATGGGTGTGGGCGTGGGGACAGGGGTGGGGATGGCACATGGATGGGGTAGGGGACGGTGATGGCATGGTCGTGGGTGTGGGGACAGTGATGGGGACAGCATAGACAGCATGGGGACAGGGGTGGGGACAGGGATGGGGAGGGCACGGGCATGGGGACAGGGCTGGCATGGGGACAGGGACAGGGATGGCACAGGCATGGGGACAGAGATGACACAGGGATGGGGACAACAATGGAGATGGCATGGTCATGGGGACAGCAATGGAGATGGCATGGGCATGGGGACAAGGATGGTGTGGGCATGGGGATGGGGACAGGGATAGGGACAGCACAGGCGTGTGGACAGGGGTGACACAGGGATGGGGAGGGGGACAGTGATGGCATGGGGACAGGGGTGGCATGAGCAGAGGGATGGGGACAGGGATGGGGGTGGCATGGGTATGTCAACGGGGATGGCACAGGGATGGGGACAGGGACAGTGACAGCATAGTCACAGGCATGGGGACGGGTGGCATGGACACAGGGATGGACACAGGGGAGGGGACAGGGATGGGGATGGCACAGGCGTGTGGACAGGGACGGCGCAGGGATGGGGTTGGGGGCGGTGATGACACGGTCATGGGTGTGGGGACAGCGATGGGGATGGCTTGGGCATGGGGACAGCATGGGGACAAGGATGGGGCAGGGATGGGGACGGCATGGGGACAGGGATGGCATGAGCACAGGGATGGGCGCAGTGATAGGGACAGCCGTGGAGATGGCACGGACCTGGGGATAGGGATGGCACGAGGATGGGGACAGCATGGACACAGGCATGGTGACAAGAACAACACGGGGATGGTGATGGGGACAAGACATGGATGGGGACAGCGTAGGGATGGGGATGTCACGGGGATAGGGACAGCATGGTGACAGGCATGGGGACAGGGGTGGTGCAAGCATGGGGATGAGGACAGCATGGACACGGGGACAGGGATGGGATGGGGACAAGCATGGGGATGGCAGAGGGATGGGGACAGGGATGGGGATGTCATGGCCACAAGGATGGGGACAGGGACTGGCATGGGGACAGGGATTGGGATGGGCATGGGGACAGGGACGGTGCCTGCAGCCTCTGTCCATCCCCACAAGTCCGTGTGTCCCCGTGGCTCTGCAGGTCCACATGCGTCTGTCTGTCCTGGTGGGTCTGTGTGTCACCAGTCTGTCCCTGTGGGTCTGTGTTGTCCCCTTGGGCCTGTCTATCTGCGTCCGTCCCCATGTGTCCCCATGGGTCCGTGTGTCCCCATGGGCTCATCATCTGTCCCCATGGGTCCATGTGTCCCCATGGCTCCACATGACCCACATCTGCTGGTGCTTCCCCGTGCGTCCGTCTGTTGCCTGGGGCCAGATGTCCCCAGTCCGTCCCCGTCAGTCAATCTGTCCCAGTCTGTTCCCGTGAGTCTGGGTGTCCCCAGTCTGTCCCTATGCGTCCGTCTGTCCCTGTCCCTTCCCGTATCCATCCAACCCTGTGTCCCCCCGTGGGTCCCCGGACTCTGGCAGACGGGGACTTTTGGGGACGGGTTGTTGATCCTGGTCCCCTTTGCTCTCGCAGTGCTTGTCCAGACTCTGCCCACCCATGGGGGGTCCCCAGGGTCCCCTCAGGGTTCCCTGGGGTCCCCGGCATCACCAGTGGCCCCAGCGTCACCATCAGCCCGAGGGTCTCCGGCATCCCCAAGGTCCCCAGTGTCACCAGCATCCCCGGGGTCACCAGGGTCCCTGGGATCACCAGCATCACCAGTGTCACCGGATGCATCCTTGGGGTCACCAGGGTCTTTGGGGTCACCAGCATCTCCGAGGTTTCCAGCGTCCCCAGTATCTCGAGGGTCTCCGGGGTCCCCGGCATCCCCGAGGTCCCCAGTGTCACCAGAGTCCCCGGCATCACCAGTGTCCCCAGAATCCCCAGGGTCACCAGTGTCCCCAAGGTCACCTGCATCTCCACGGTCCCCAGCATCACCACAGTCCCCTGTATCACCTCCATCTCCATGGTCCCCAGTGTCCCCAGCATCCCCACTGTCCCCAGTGCTCCCGGCTGGCCCATCCCTGCATGACCTGGGGGCCAAGCTCTCCTCCTACAAGGGTTCCTTGCTGCAGCGCCTGGAGAGCCACCTCCGGGCTACGAACTTTCCCCTCCGGGGCAACCAAACGGTGCCGGCGGTGGCCCGGGCCATCCTGTCTTACCTTCTGCGCCGCAGCCCGGCCCCGTTGCGTCACCAGCTCCTCCGCCAGATGCCCCATCCCAAGCCCCAGTTGATGCCAGGGGCCGCCGGCGAGGCTCTGGTGGACCTGGATGGGCTGCGGGGCCACGCAGAGAATGTGGTGATCCGTTACCGGCTCCTGGAAGAGCCGGAGGGGGCCGAGGGGGAGCTACAGG